ATTTTGAAAGTTGTGGCGTCTTCTTGCACAAGGAACTGCTTTGCATATTCTTCAATCTTCTTTCTGTAAATTACACTTCAATTTGCCAAAACTGATAGTTGTTGAAACTTTATCATTCAAAACAAAACTAGAGGTAGGCTAGAGGCAAAAATCGAGAATGATAACGTCCTAACGGTACAATTCCCGATTTTTGTTCCCACACAATTTTGAAGTGAAGATTCTCAAAAAGACAAATCAAAATTCACAGCAAATGTGCTGCGCTCTCGCTTAAGTTTATGGGAGCTAGCTCTATTTATTTACGCTCTACGTGCTTTCACCATTATGGTTGTTAAAAGTTTGTATCTAAATGTTTTTTTCAATACTGAAATCTCCAAACATGCCAAATTCTCAATGCATCCAAAAAAAGGGTATACGACCCTCTGTATGCTGAAAGCTAGACTCCAAAACAAGATACGAGCAAAAGCATTCTGCGAAACCAATTTATCCGAGGTTTATGAACCAGCTCCACTTCTCTCAACTTGCAACCTATTAAATCTTTCCTACCTTTGCGTCCATCTAATCTACCACCACTAGAGCCCCCAAATCACCTCCTGGTGTTTGAGAGTTCGTTCATTTTCTACGTTACTCAGCGATCGACTACTTTTCCAGAATGGAGTTCGCCTCCCCGTTCGTCATCGACACGTCAACGCCGGAGAGTTTGGAGCGAGACTTCTACGCGTGGTTGAATGTATGTAGTATGTTCTAAACAAGAACGCGCAGAACAAAACTGGTTTTGTGCTTCGCACAATCGACGAGGCTAATTTGTGTTTTGATCCGTTTCTTCGTTGAGAAAATGATCAGGGCTGATCAAAATCGAGTAATCCAGCTCCAGCTCAGCTCAAAAGGATCAAGCTGAGAGCAGTGATAGTAACAGATTTTGGTAGGCTAGTAGTTCTGACACTTTATATAGTGTGCTTGTGGTGTACTGCTGGCAATACCTGCGCTCAAATTGGCAGCGGACGCAAAGCTGAAAATTTGCATCCTATAGATTTTGGACGCGCAAACTGCCAGCATTTCAGACGCAAATGTTGTCGCTGCTTGTTGGGCACCACAAGAATACTATATTAAGCGTAGAAACTATCAGGTTGTCCCATAAATTCCGTTCGTTTTAACTTCAATCGCAATAAGTCATATGCTTTTTATTTCTAGATAGGGTTCAAGACACCGGGTGATAGAGCAAAGCAAGCTCTACAAGATGGTATTTGCTTTCGCACCAATTCAAATCCCTTTCGAATTTGAAGCTAAAAGCTAGAAGGATCCAACCGCCCGAAAAATAGAGAAAAAATTGTAAGTCCGTCCAAAAAATTCTAAAAAATTCCTAACTTGCTCACAGATACACTATCCACATCAGACACTTATGCATATTCTCTAAAAATATTCGTTTTAATGTGAGAGACCCTACTAAAATAAGTCAACTTTGACGTTTCTCAAGAACTAAAGCCTTAAGCTGAAAATTCGGGTTTGTACTTCAACTGGTCTATGGTATACAACTCTAATGTAAAAACAGCACAGCATCATTTGACAAAAACATAAAAATTCTCGTTCTCTCAGTTTCTATTCGAGAAGAAAATACAGAAACAGTATACATAAATGTCTGATATGGATAGTGCATCTGTGAGCAAGATAGGAATTTTCTAATTTTTCTGAATGGAAATACAATTTTATCTCTATTTTTCGGGCGATAGGAAATTTTCAGTTTTTGGCTTCGAACTCACGAAGGACTCGAGCTGGTGCGAAAGCAAGAACACAATCTTGTAGAGCTTGTTTTGCTCTATCAAACGATACCTTGTAACCTATCTAGAAATAAGAGGTGTATGACTCATCGCGACTAAAAATTGAATCGAGCGTAACTTATGAAACAACCTGATATTACCAGCTTATAAATAGGCCGAATTTTCGAGATTTGTGGTAGCATTTTTTTGTGAATTTTAACTCTCTACTATTACGTCTACAAATGACATCCTATGCAGATGGAAGGATCGCAGTACCTTGAATCGCAACAGTCACGAATATGCATTTCGCTACCTCCGCTCGAGTCATCCTTGGGTTCAAGCAGCTACACGGATAACAAAGAGGTCACTTTTTTTTCTATTATTCATAGATTATATATGTTGAGCTAGGCCTTCATGTACCCCAAAATGCGTTTTTTGCATAACTTCCAATAAAGCAAGAGTTTAGCTTAATATACTGTATATGCGGTGCCAACAACAACTGCGCGTAAAAATTGATTATGGAACGCAAAATTTGTGTTGTGAAACGTGTGCGCCCTGTGACCATTTTTGACGAGCAAGTTTATGTGTATGATCATGGCGACTGTTTTCGCAAAAGTGTTACAATTATGTTAACTATAGATTAAATTAATTTATGGATCGTAGATATTTCTGTTCTTGAACAAACGAAAAGCATATATAGAGGAAAATTCAAAGCACTTAACAAAGGTTCAAATATTAAACATGCTCTATCTTACCATGCTTATGAGAAATTTCATTGAACGAAATTAAAGGTTGAAAAAAACTCCGAAAATCGCAACTGTTCACATCCAATCCGCACCAGTTCTCTCACTATGAAAAAGAATAGCGTAGAACTTGAGTCAACACTAAAGTCAAATTTCACTGGTATTAGATTAAATTGAGTTTCCAATCGAAACTTGACAAAAACACGTCTTGAGTGCTTCTCTCTACCGGCTTGTATGTTCGCTATATGCCAGTGAGCAATCTTATGAAAGGAACGAATCTGGCAAACTTCCAGGAACCTAAAACTTTGCTAATCGAGGCAGTTGGTATTTAAGTTTCACAGCCTGTTTTATCTATTTGAAAAAAATTTTGTGCTGATTGAGCGTTTCTATCAAAATTCATTTTTGTAAAAAAGAGTTAAAAAATCAGTTTTTTTTGCATTGCTTGCTCGATCATAATTTTTATAAAAAGCTCGATCAACACAGTTCTTGCTCTGATGAAATGTGCATATCATAAAATCTATAATACAAAGTGTTTCGATCTAGTACTCTGCGTTGATACCACTGCTT